CAAGCTCAAGAAGACCCTCTATGGGTTAAAGCAAGCTCCTAAGATAAAAAAAATTGCTTAATACTTATATTTCTATGATTATTTTTCTTTTTATTTAGATCCTAGCTTATTTATTAAAAAGCATGGAAGCCTACATATTATTGTTCTTCCATATGTGGATGATATGATTATCACTGGTAATAACAAAATAGAGGTTTTAAAGTTCTTGATGATCGTTTTCTCCTGTTAGAAATGAAAGTCTTGGGAGAGTTTAATATTTTTCTTGGTTTGGGAGGTAATGAATACAAAAGAAGATATATTTATCTCTCAAACAAGCTATGCAAAGAAAATTATTGAAAGATTTAGAATTAACAAAAGTAAAAAGGTTGCTACTCCACTTGATGCAAATATAAAGCTAAGTTGTAATGATGGCAAGCTTCTTTCTTACCCTCGATCTTTTTAGACTTTTATTGGTAGTCTCATCTACTTAACAATTACAAGACTAGATATTATATTTTCAATTAGTCTTGTAAATCATTTTGTGCAATCTCCAAAGAAGTCACAACTTGATGCAGCAAAGAGAATTTTAAAATATGTGAATTCTACCCTTGATTTGGGATCGTTCTATAAGAATGACATACATCTTGAATTACATGGTTCTGCAGATGCTGATCTGGGAGGTGATTTAGATAATCGTAGATCCACTTCTGACTATGTCTTTTTATATGGTTATGCTTGTATCTCATGGTGTAGTAAGAAACAACAATTAGTTTATCTTTCTACAACCGTAGCAGAATACAAGGCTTCCTCACTTATTACTCAAAAATGTATCTGGTTAAGGCATTTAATCGAGGACGTTTGCTATCAAATTAACAAACTAATTATTTTGCAGATTGATAATCAAAGTGTCTTAAAATTGACTACAAATCTAATTTGTCATGTAAGAACCAAACATATTGAAATTGAATATTATTTCATCCAGGAAAAGGTGCTTCAAGGTGTCATTGAGGTCATAGAGATCAAGAGCAAAGATAATGTCGCATATATCTTTACCAAATCTCTCTCTAAAGGACTGTTTAAAGATTTTTGAAGCAAGTTGGGACTTATCTTCAAAAGTATACTTTAAAGTATGTCTTTTGGAAGATTTTATATTGTTATCTTTTATCTTTTAAATAAGTTGATTAAATAAAGTTTTAGAGATAAGGGTCTCTTGGTTTAAATTATTATTCTACACTTATAAATAGATGGCATTTACATGTGTAGATTCATTCAAGTCTATGTGCTTAGGCCTATAGAGCTTAAGTCAAAGAGTAGTTTAAGATCTTGCAAGTGTTTTTCTTTTTAAGAAGCTCAATATAGTTTTTTTTACCTGCTGCTTTGGTTTTTAATTTTTCTATTTGGTTTGATCTTAGGCTAGTAGTATATTCTTACTATTATTTGAGAAAGGGTTGCACATGCATGTGATCTCTCCCTTCACACATTTTCATCTAAATTCACTTCTACATACTTTTTTGACAATACACATGAGAGGATGTTTTTAAGCTTGTATATGTTAATTTACATAATAAATTCGGCCAACCAGAAAATGAGGCATATACTATTCATGAACTAGAATATAACTAAGTTTGAGAATTTAGTAGTCATCTGGTGGTACTTTGTCAATTGATCATGTGGAACATCACACAAATCACTTGATTATGGTTTCCAAGGGCATTTAATTATTTATCCATTTGTGAAATACCCTCAATATCTTGAATTTAGGATATCTAATGCATTTGTATGTTTCATGCTTGTTTGTTTATCGTAGGCAAGGGATTCGTATTATAGTGGTAATCCTTTGATTGTTGATGACATGTTCGATAAAGTTGAGGTATGACCAAAGAAACCCTCTTTCCTACATGCCATTCTTTTTCATAGATGTTATCCTCATTATGTTTTACAGTTGAAGCTGCGGTTGTATGGATCAAAGTCTGTTGTTAAGTATCCTCGGTGCAGCCTAAGACAACATTCAACCTATTCAGATGCTGAGGTAACTTCATTTGAAGTTTTTCCTTACATATACACAAATGGATTATTTTTATTTTTACTCTTCCGACACTGTCATTCTACCTGTTTGAGGTTTTGATATGACCTGGGTGTAGACAGGAAGATCCTTCACAAGCTTTTGCTCTAGCAAGTGTATGGATGTTGCTGCTTGCATTTGGGACATCTGCAATTCTTGTGCCTACCATCTATAGCCTCAGTCTGGCTCTCAGTGATATTTTCAACTTGAGATATTTCTTTTATGGTGGTAGATCACCATTTGAATTGTTTATGATGGTCAATGGCTTTCTGATCATGGGACTCGGTTGTCTGATTGGTTATCCTATTGCATCTGCTTCTGGTAAGTTATGATGCACCTACTGTACTATGTTGATGGTTGCCAGAGTTTAGACTCATATTGCATACTTGTTAGAACCATTGTGACTGCTTACAAATAGGGATGTCGATGTAGCTCGATAACCTGATAATCATTTCTGGACTTTGAGTATCAATCCTTCAATTTTGGATCTAGTGACAGGTGGATATAGATTCGTGGATCTATACAAAATAAAAAGATGACATAAATCTGATATCTAACCTTCATATGAAAATTTTAGATTTACATCCAATTTTGAATGCTACAATCCTTTATCAGATTCCAATTGTAGATGCAACAACTTGGTACACCCTGATTAATTCAATTTTCAGAATATGAATTTCTTTTTAAAATTGTCTGAGCAATATATTCTCTTTCTTTGCTTCCATCGTGTTCAATTTTCAGGAGCAAAATCATTTTCAATTGTTTAGTTGATGTGATAACTTTCAGTTTTTTATTTGTGATTTTCTAGTTTCATAGCAGATATATGAAAACGGGAGGAACTTGACGCCCATTGTCATTAGGACGTTTATTTCCTGTGCTTCATATTGAATTCCCTAGAAGCACAAAATGATTACCTATCTTCTTAGATCCAAAAACACACATCCGTAGTTAATGCCAAGGTTTCAGCAAACTTCTTTTTATGTCTTGATATCTCTGAGATTTTGCATCATGTTACATTATTGGCATAGATAAGTTAACTGCTCCAGCAGACAAGTTTCCATCAAAATTTAGCTAATATGATCATTGTTTTCTACTTTACAGTCCAAGCACTGCAAGGCCTTTGGAGGAAAGAATTGGTAGCGCTAAAAGGTTCATGCCCAAACTGTGGGGAGGAGGTTGACTACTCTGGATATATCTTTAATGAAACTATTTACAATAAATATTTTCTGCCAATGCAAAAAGCTACGGTGATGATATATCAAAATTGTCATCTTGCAGGTCTTTGCTTTTGTCAAATCCAAAACTTCATATAGACATCCTCATCGTGCAGAATGCCACGTGTGCGAGTGCACCTTGGAGTTTAGAACAAAGGTGGAGGTATATAATTACATATATGTATATTTCATGTTTCATACACCATGTGGTATTATTTGAGAATATATATATATATATATATATATATATATATATATATATATATAAATCATTTGACTGCATATAATTATTGATATTAATAAATATGATAAAATAAAATTTATAAACTATATTTGTCAACAAAGATAAAAGTGGCAAAATATTAGGTGAGCACCCATTAGAAGGAGAAAAACTTGATCTGATTATATTGAGTCCCTAGGATGGTGATTCTCAGAAGACAAGAGTAATAAATTACCTGACATTGGAAGGAAATTTAAAATATGATAAAGCACCTAAGAGCATACAAAACTGTAGGATGGCATCATGAAGCACTAAAGAAAGAGAGAGACAGAGAGAAAGACAAAAAAAAGAAGCTAAATGTTACAAGTGTAAACTGATGTTGATGCGGGTCGTAGACAAAACAAGCAAAAGAGGATGGTTTGCTTGGCAAGAAATGTACACTGTGTAGCTGCTATCAATCTCATTTATGTTTCCTAAATGTTTACTCCATTCTCATCCTCCATATGAAAGTAAAAGATGCTGGATTGTCCATTTCCTATCAAATTGATATATTTTTTCTCAGAACATGACATTTTCTTTTCTTCCTCCCTAAGATAATAAGTGTCAGTTGCGGAATCTGATGGTAAATTTGCGCCAGAATCAAAATTGTACCATTTGACTTTGCTAACTAGTTCTTGTCGTTCTAATATAGGAAACCTTCTCGACACCGGGCAGACGTTGGGTTTATGGCCGTGTTTATCTGGTTCAATAGACATGAAAAGAGGGTTACAGACAAATGTAAATTGTAGTCATGGGTTCCCTTCAATGTTATTAAGATCGTAATGTTAAACGGTTAGTTGGTTACAGTTGATAGATTTTTTGTTGCTGCAGTTCAGTAGTGTATGAGGAGGTGATTACTTTGTCTGATGCTTTTTGCCTAGTAATGAAGGTGAAGGTAGCCCCGAAGATCTCCCGGCTGCGATATCGTATAGCTTTGGTACATTTCTAGATTCTGTAATGAGAACCTTCGTTCTTAGGTTCAATTGAAATTATCGACTATTTACCAGGTATTGATGCTGGTGGTAAATTCTCGATGGTTGGATTGAGATCATCGATTAAAATATTCCCTTGTACAATTTAGTGTGTATATATATATATATATATATATATATATATATATGTTATTGTCATCACATTATTACTCGAATCTTTCCGCGTTAACATCCGCTCCCAAAGGCCAGTAGTCGATCGATCTCTCCAAACCAGGCCAAGCCCTAGAAATCTTGCGATCCCTTGAGATCCAAGCGGAGCTGCAACGAGACCTCAGCAAGAAGCGCTCGGATTCGAACATAAAGAAGACCAAATCAGTAAAGGCGCGATCGCAGCAGCAACAGAACGGCCACGCCCTTACGTCTAAACTCGCCAACTTGCTCGATCCTGAGGCCTCTTGGGATAAGGTCTGCCTCGAATCTCTGGATATTGTACCCTTGCCTTCAAGAAGCTGTTCGATCTTGTGTACTTGTCCTTGCTTCTTTTTGGGCAAGGCATATAGGTTCGATCCGTTCTTGGGCATTAATCGAGGGTGTTTTCGTGTGATTTTTTTGTTGGTGTAGGATCAATTGGGGGACGTTCTGCACTGAATGCGGCAAGCGTTGGGCCTCGTGTGTGGTTTGCTGTGGGGTGCCTATTCCCTTGGGTGGTGCTACCTGGATTGTTGTGTAAGTTCTTCGAATCACCACTCGTAATAGTAGTTTTGTGTACAATGGATCATTTTGGTAGCTCACAATCATGGTGAATCATATTAAATATAACACTTTGATGCTAATCTAAATTCCACGAAAACTTCAGTTGATGTGCAGAAGGGAGTGTGTAATCTTTACAAGAGAAACTGTTTCTACATTGGATGGACGGTCGATTAGCTAGTTGATTAATTGAAAGTATGTCTGCGAATCAAGTTATTGAAATCAAAACAAAAGGAAGGTTTCACTCAATCTTGAATGTCAGAATGCCTGAACTATAGTATCTGATTTGACATAATTTTTGGTGCTTGCACTTGTTAGATATTAGCAGGTACAATAGATCATTTTCTTTCCAATATTAAGGTGCCATTTTGTGGATGCTCTGCAAGATTCATCATCACTTTTGTATTGTCCATCAAGTTCTCAATAGAGTTCATATTAGCTCAAACTTTCCAGGCTCCATGCGTATTAGCCCACCTTTAGGTTTTACTGTGTACAGTTGAAATCAAGGATTTTTGCATTGGTCACACAAAGACAGGCTCACACATTTGGTTATAGGATTGGCATACATCAGCTAATGTGGGGCTTATGCAGTATCACGCTAAATGGGGGATCCCGGTCTGTTCAAAGACTGATACAGTAACCAACATAACAGAAAATAGAGCATAACCTTCTCATAAGTTTATCCATTATAATTTGATGTTTCAACTGGTTCTAACATCCTTCAAAATTTCTCTCTCTAACAATTACTAGTTGGACACAAGAATCTGCAATAGGTTTACTGTTACAGGGTTACTTGTCCCTGGACAAGCCCTAGGAATGACCAAAGCCTAATTGGCCCTAGATGGACCTTTTTGACCATCATGAGAGCCCAAATATATGTCCATTCAGCTTGGTTAAATTCGGGATGGTGGCACCTAAGAATACAATCCAATGTGGAACAAGTTCTGTGCAACTTGCAGCAATGTACTAACAAAAGTACCACATCTTGGGCTTACACCAAAGTGGTATGGCCTCTCGTTTTCATGCTCTTGTTTGCTAGTACTTTCTGATGGCTGGTACTGTGATTCCATGGAAGATGGTGAAGACACTATAATTCTAGAAGCTGAAAGATGATATTAAATTATTAAGATAAAGAATTTATTGCAATTGAGTTGTTCCCAAAGTAGACATTCCCTGAGAATCAATCAACAATGAATTATGGAACTACTTTATGAGTAAATGGACCCTATTTTGTTACTTCTGGTTTGAAGGAATCACTCTCCAATATTCCCAATAGTGACCTATATTGATCAATAAGGTTGCAGAGGAGCCAACCCAATCAATATCCTTACCATCAAAAGGAAGCTTAGATTCATAAGATTTGACTGTTGACTTGTGGCCTTTTCTTCTTTATGGCCATCTTGAGATTTGATACTTATTTTATACAAGTCTGCAACTTCTATACTGAAGTTTGCAGAACAAAACAACCATAACAGCTAAAAGATTATGCCAACTGTGCCGTTTTTCCCTTCACATGATCTCATATATCAACTATCATCTAAACATGGTGACTAGCTTTCGTAAACGTAGATTTCAGAAGAATGTTGACAAATATGAAATGAGCAACGCAAAGATATATTTATCCTGCCCATCATAAATTCTAGTTTCTTACATTGCATTTTGAATGCGAGGTATTATCAACACATTGGTATCAAGTGAACCTATTCAGTAGAACCTAAACAATAAATTTGAGAAATTGTGCTGCTCTATGGAATTTCACATGCTCAAGTTGTTTTACCTTCTATATCCTGAATTCTTTACATCATGATTTTGTCCAAATGGTTGATTGTAACTTTGAAAATGAAGCCACTGGTCTATCAATAAGAGATAATTTTGTTGGAACTGCATTAAGAAGATAATTTTCTTTTCTTACATATTCTTGTTGGCTGCAGCTTGCTTGGATTCTTGTATACAGTTTGGCACACTTTTAAACAGCTGTTATCTGCTGAACCACGTGGAGCCCCATCTTTTGATCTCCCATGAAATGAGAACTAGCAGTGGCTTTGTTAGTTAGAGATATTTTTGGTATATTGATTTCTACCATATGGGCTGAGAGCATTTGTTTTATAGTACTTAGTAGTGCCAAGGGATTCCTCTTTGCATTATTTCTCACCATCCATAGTGTTTGACATTACTATACTTGTTGCAGTTGTGAAGGGCACAATTCCAGGGAAAATCCCTATGCTCATCAAAGAGGATTATTCGTGAACAAAGTTTAATCAGTGTGGTATAGTCCTTAACAAAGTATTTGTTTTCCTGTGCTGAAATAATTGCAGCAAGCAATCACATGCCAGACTAAGCAAGAAGAGCATGAGAGGTGATTTGATAGTTTGTTCATCCAACAGAAGAAAAGCCTCCTAAAAGGTTAGAGCTTGTAGCTTAATTATATCTTCAAGCATTGTATTTCTTACCACTAGTCTATGTAGTCTGCCTTCTGCACCAATGTTTGGAAATCACAAACAACAATACCCAAACACAAGAAGGAAAAAATAGAACAACTGCATCAAGATGCCTACAGCATGTAAGCCAAAGTCAGGAACTCATGCTTCCACTGAACTAGTTGGAACATATTTGGTCATAGCTAGAAGTATATTAACACCTCATTTATAGAACAAAGAATGAAATCTCAAGGAGTAAAACATCAACAGTGAAGCATAGATGTGTAGTACAAAAATGTGGCTTATAATACTGTGCTAAACCTTGTTAATAGACTCCAGCGATGGTCTTAGAACATTCCAGTCCAGTTTCTGCCACTTGGGAGAACTTTTTCCATTGTTATTAGAGGATGATTGTCCACCATCATCAACTGCAGTTTTCAGGAATTTTTGTGGAGTTGTTTCGTTAGTCTTGGTTTTCAGTTGCTTCCTCTTAAGGTCTAAAGTCAGATCTATCTGTTATCGAGCCCCTGGATCCTGTTGCATAGTGCTCATCTGCTCTGCATCGACATCAGATAAGAATTTAGTCATATAGACAACGGAAGCTAACGAACAATGTAATAAGAAGATATGTTGCAGTATACCGAGCATGAAGGACATATATGGAACCTCATCTATGAGAGCTCACAGTTGAATGTATATTCATGAAAATCATACTACATGCACTCTTTAAACATATATTAACAATCAGTTGGTAATGTTTTGGACCATTCAAGCTTTTAAAAATCAACTTAAATGCAAAGACATGTCAACTCTTTTCTTTTTTGTTTACTATGTTTCTTCACTCTCTTTATGTTATATCAAGGTTCATCTAGGTTGTTTGCCACAAAGTTTATGGTACAGAAACCTTGATTTGAAATACTCTATAGTACATGGTATGGTAACTAGAATAGCGCATAAATAAGTAGCGGAACTTATTTATGCGCATTAATATAAACCTTATGTTTATAGTACATGGTACA